ATTACCAATCAAATGACTGAAGTAAGACAAGGAAGCAATATCATTTTGAACCAGGAAAACAAAGGTATTTTTGGTCACTTTGGAAGAAAATAGGACAAAAGAAAACAGAATAAGATTTTTTTGCAGATTTAATTTTCTCCTGGAAAATCCAGGCAATTTTTACATGTCTTTCTCTCTTCTTGTATTTGCATATTCAGCATACAAGAAGATTGTTTTCACAATTAGATGTAATTCTTATACCCATTGTTAAGCAGTTCACCATTAAAAAAATCCTAAAAATGATGGTTTGCAAATTTCAAAATTTGAAATATTTTGCTTTCTTGGGAGCTACATTATACTGATTACAGTTTCATGGAGAGCAGACATATCCTGTATGGAACATGTTTAATGAGATTTCTAACCTCTTATTTGCAACTATCTTATATTCTCCAAAATTAAACTATTCACCATTATTTATTCAGACCAGAAATTGGAAGATCATATCGTATCTTAAGAATCTAGATATGTCCACAGCAAACTGAGATTACAGTATGTCAAAGTAATGAAATCTGTATGATGAAGCCATGACACAAATCCCACGCTTATGTACTTGCATCCTGATATGTGCCAGAAATTCCCAAGTTCCAGGTTTTGTTATTTCCATTTATAGATAGATGCCTATGAGTTACAGTTTACCAACTAATCAAGGTGTCTGAATGTCCAGAGGATTTACATTTGAGATATAGTTCATTTAGCATATTAAATATGTGAAAAAATAACCTTTTTAGCCACAAGTTATAAACCACCTGGTATAAGCTGTATGGATACAAAAACTTTTCACACAGTATCATGTTTTAAGCTGTGTTTGCAGGGCTGCATCACAACATGGACCTTGTTTGTGAGAGGCTATCTGTGTAGTTTTACACAGAAATCCTCCATGATAATAGATCTGTCCCGCAAGATGCAGAATGGGTTCACATGTATCATTAAATCAGAGGACAGCTTGTTCACTTTTAGTTTAGCACGCTATGAGAATTACAGTGTTTATAGATCATAGCTTAATAGCAGGTTATCCACATGACACTTAGTCAAAATGTGGTTTTCTTGTTTGTACCATATCGTATGAATATAGCCATTGTGGTTAAAAACCTTGTCATAAGGGAATAACATATTATATAAATGCAGGACTTCTGCTTTGAGTTTCTTCGGGGACAGACCGAAACTGCGACTCTGCGCGGTTTCGATCCGTGCTTGCTGCTGGAGCACCCTGAGCTGGCTGGTTTCGGGGCTAAGCCACCCCGTAGAGGTGGTGAAGAAGGGGGAGACTGCCTGCAGGGTTGAGGAGAGCCGCACCTCTCCTCCTCAGCTGGCCATTACTCCCTTTCCCAAAGGCAGTGGTGGTCAGAAATGGCCACCACAAAGAAGAACTCAACCGGAAAAGAATGTGCAGGAGGAAGATAAGAAGAGAAAGTTTGGTTGACCTAGTCAAACAGCAAAAGCAACAAATAAGGTACCCTGGAATTCAAACTATTAAAAAAAAAAAAATAACACGGTTCCCAAATAAGATTTCTAAGCAGCGAAGGAGAGAGAAAAGGGAAAAGATTTGGTTTTTTTTCTCTCCTCTTCCTATACTGACAGCTAAGAGACTTAAGCAAGGAATTGGGGAAAAAATCCACTTTGACATTAATAGGCATTTAATGCTGAAAATAAAAAGTCAAAGGGATAATAAAGATTTCTGGATAATTAAAAGCTTTTGAAAACAGGAAAGGAGAGAAAAAGAATAAAAGGGCAGGATCTGGAAGGAAGGAGACTGCCTGGAATTAAAAAGAACTTACAGCAAAATCTCAACAAGACTTCCAAAAGATACATCTTAACTGAAACATCGCAACAAAATAGTAAAATCCCAGGAAGAGAAAGTGGAAAAAGAAATAAGAAGAAACAGCTTGGGACTATTTGGATTATTTGGTGATCTCTGGATTCTTGGTTACTGCATTTGAATGACTAAAATCAATTGGGTGGTTGTTTAAAAGTGTTTAGAATGGCTCCACTTTTAGAAGAACTGAAAATGGAACTTTAAAAGTACAAAGAAGATGCACAAGAAGGGAGAGGTTCTTTTGGCTTCGTATTTCAGTTCTTGGAAACGGAGATTTGGAACTATGAGAAACAACAAGAAATGCCTGCAGAACAAGAAGATTGGGACAAAGAAGAAGCCATCTTTAATGAACAAGTAACTCTATTTGGGGGGAAAAAAGAAAAGGGGAGAAAGACAATGGAAAGTTTAAGATTGGGAAAAACAACCCAAAAAAAGAATAGAGTGAAAAATAAGTATAAAATCAGAAAGCAACAGAAGAGGGAAATGCAGAAGAGAGAATTAGAAGTAGAGAGACAAGGGGGTGAAAAGGGGAGGGAGAAGAAGAGAGGGAAGAAAGAAAAGAAAAGAAGTTATAAAGGACAGAAACAAAATATAGAGAAACAGGGCCTATTTAGAGATAATGGGTGAAAATTTAATTGAAAAAGGGATTCTGCAAAGGTACATAAGATAGTATTGTTATATTAGAAATAGAAATAATTTCAGAAAATACGAAACAATGTATGATTAAAATGTTTGACAAAATAGTTATCGTAACTTAATGGAATGCTTGTCAATAAATAAATGTAACAAAATGAATATTTAATGATTTATAAAACATATGTGAAGAGAAATAAGGGAAAAATTAAGTATGGAGATTATACGTGTCTTTAAGGAAGTATGATATTTAATTGAAAAGAAATGTTAAAGATGTTTGAGACTTTAATGAATATTAATGATAGAACTGAATTGGAATGGAATTAGGGTTTTAATTATATATATTTACAATCCTTTTTTTTAAGAATATAGTGTGTATTATAAGAATGTACCAAGCAGAATCCGATTGGAAGTTATGTATTATGTATTATATTGAATGTCATAACCTTAAGGTATATATCAAAGTTTAAATAAGAGTTGAATGGATAAAATTAAAAGATATAAAGGTGTCATACTCCAATTAGTAACTACAGGAGAAAATTTGTTTAATGAGAAAAGATAATATGAAATTGAAACAGAACAGACAAAAGTATAAATATAATGATTTGAATTGAGATGAGATAATCAAAATAAAATTGAGAAAATTAAAAGAGGGGAAAAACTATATAGAAAATGCAGAATATAATAAGATATGGAATAGAACACAAAAATGAGCATGAAATTGAGTTTTGTGTCTGTATAAAGAAGTGCAACCCGGGACCAAGCCATTTTCAAAAAAGATGTTTTACTTGTATTTTGTGTGTGTGAAAACCCAAATAAAACTTTAATTAAAAAAAAACATATCATATAAATGCAGCGATTTCTGTTTTGTTCTGAAATGGAGGTTAAACTTAGGATTTTTTTGTACTGAACCAGAATGAACATTTTGCAAATATTATATTGATAAGACAAATCATAGATTACCTTTATTTGCATGCAAGGCCAGAATCTAGTAATGTTGCTAAAAGTTTCAATATTTTATTTTTGCTGTTTTTTAATAATAGGAATAAGATGGCAGAGCAATCTGTAAATGAATATAAATATCTTTGTTAAAGGGAAAATGCATCTATGAATGCAAAGCATCAATTCATCTATAACTATGATACATTTTCTGGAAAACTGTAATTTACAGAAACCTGCACAATTGTATTAATTGGTAAAATTTTAATATAATGAGATAATTATTTAAGCAATCATATTTATCCACTGAAGTATATCGTGTACTTGAGCTAGACCTGAGTTTTTCTTACAGGACAATTTGTTTACTTAGTTAAATGATTAGAAATATATATTTACCACATTATGCTGAAACCATAAAATAGAAATAAAATGGAAAAGAATGGAGTAAGTGCTTGAGAGCATTACTGTAAAACATGACTACAGACTATCTTGTTCTTGTAAAAAAAATCTGCTTTCCTCAGTGAGATAACTAGAAATAACACCTTTTAGAAATTCAGAGCAATTATTTCTTGTAAATTGGGTGGATTTTTTAAAAAGAAAAATAAGAAAATATTGTGAGAAATTATGATACAAATATTGTTTGTTTTTAGCATCCTTTACCAATATGTGTTCATTTTACTATGATATAACTTGCTTTGTTTATGAAACTGGAGTATTGTATAGAAATGAAATGTATAAGTTGATTAACATAATAATGAGAAATGACTCCATTGAAGTTACTTTAACTATCCTAATTTTTGCTGTAGCTATAGCTACAAGCTGCTGAATAATAATAAAGTGGCATCCTTGTAATTTTGCTTATGTATGATAAGTAGGCAGGCAGCAGTTAAAATTAAAAACAAAGTGAAAAACATGAGTTTAAAAGAAAAGCCTTTAATCTCCATAATGGACATGATTGGCTAGAGAATTCTCAGAGTGGAAGTCCACACTTCTTGGCAAATTTGAGAAACACTGTCCTGTAGAAAGTATTATATTTCAGAAAAAGGCTAAAAGAAGGTAATGAGACAGAATGCACATTTTTCCACATAAAAAAGGTTTTCTAAAATTAGTCTCATTCTCTGAATCCGAGCTACGGTGCTTCTTTTGATCCCTTATTTTTATCTTTGTGTAAGCATTTGGCTTTTGTAGGGAATGAGATTTTTCTCGCTCTTTCAGGTATTAGTTTATTTTTTAAATTTTGGCATATTGCCAAACCTAGATTATTTTTTTTACTTCTCATGTATTACTGATATATATATATATATATATATATATAAAATCATAAAGAAAATTCCATATTTTCCCCCAGACTTCTGTCTAGAGATAAGCTGGCAAGAAAAAAAAACATTTAAGATATTGTTCCATTTTACAAAGTAGAACCATATTTGCCATACATATGTTTAGTTTATTTTGCTTTTTATTCAACAATTATTTTGATTCATAGATGTATCATAACTGTATACTCTTTATTCATCATCAGTAATTTTTAGTAACAAATATTAATAATGATGTTTAATTTCTTCTCTCCTTCTCATAGTTCCTATAGTACTGAAGAGCTGCGCAGAGTTCATTGAGACTCATGGAATTGTGGATGGAATCTATCGGCTTTCTGGTGTGACATCCAACATTCAGAAATTGAGGTAACAAAATTGAATCCACGTTAAGCCTCTTATGCATTTTGTTTTTCATGAGATGGCTATAAATATAAATATGTGGATTGGACCTTGATTTTTATTTAATAATATAGCACTAAAATATGAAATGTAGCTACAAAATAAATTCAGAAACATCTTGAGTGTCGTTATATGGGAGTTTTCAACAAGACCCATGTGATTTAAACTATGTAGACATTTGAATGTAGTTTATTTTATTTATTTATTTACTTTCTAAGACTGTTTACTTTACTAATGAATCTGGGAAGCTTATGAGGAGTAAAACAACAGAAAAGTAAGATACAAAAGGCTAATAAGAAAAACAGTATCAGGGGAAGAATGATATCTGTATAAAAAACAATGGGTTCACACTTAACCCAAAATTTGTTGAAAGAGGCAGATCTTTGACATCCTCTTACTAGTTAGTGAAGCTGAGGCCATATGGAGCAATGGTGTTCCAGAGGACTGGCACAGCACAGAAAATACAGGTTTCTGGAATCTTCTAAAATGACATTGCTTAATTTAATGGAACCTGGAATGTTCAATTCCTGTCAGATATTATAAATGAGAAGTGATTCTCCAAGGTGTATGCCATGTTGATATTCCCCCCAATAGTTCTAGTAATTTTATTACAGTCATAGACAAGCATTACAAATAAATATTTTTTTAAATGATAAAATTAAATTAAATTTTAAAAAAGAAGATAATATTTAACAACTGTTAGTAGATTGTCAGTGGGCAAAGTCTACCTAATTTTGCAGATAGTGTAACAAAATTTAGCTACCTTCAAAGAGACATTGGATTGATCCAATAACAGAAATTGAACATAAAAACAGGCTGGTGTTTCCCAGATATTTTATCAGGTCAGGTGTTATGAGATGGGTTCGTGAGTCCTTATAGAAGATACAGAAGAATAAAATGTGAGCAGAGTTTTAATAGCCCCTTGTCCACAGGGGCACAATCTGAGCTCATATGGGATATATATGTATTTTAATATCGACCCACAAAGACTGCTGTGGGAAGTACATATCAGTGTGTTAAAGTTAATACCCTTTGGAGATTGGGGACAGTTATAAGGTGTAAATATTTTGCTGCTTTGCAAAGAGGAGTTTGACTGGTCAAGGAAATAGTCTTAGGAAGAGCAGACTGATCTTGTTGGGCTTCCAGATCCTTGATATGTTGTTTGAAGTCATACCCCATTATTAAAAGTGTTTTCCGGGAACAGCCAAGATACTGAAGTTTTTGGGTGTTGGGAGTAATACTGATTCATAACTGTCCTCTATACCAGTGATGGGATTCAAAAAAATTTACTACCAGTTCTGTGGGCGTGGCTTGGTGGGCATGGCAGGGGAAGGATACTGCAAAATCCCCATTCCCTTGCTAACCTGCTTTCCAGCTCTGTTCTCCTGTGCAGGGCAACAAAAGAAGACCCAGCCAATCAGCTGGGACTCGGGAGGCAGAGAATAGAAGTGGTATTTGCCGGTTCTCTGAACTACTCAAAATTTCCGTACCATTTCTCCAGAACTGGTCAGAACCTGCTGAATACCACATCTGCTCTATACGAAAAAAACTGAAACCTGCGGGGGAAAATGTTGATTCTATTCAATCATTAGAATTGGCACTGTTTGCAAATGAAATCTTGATCATATTCAGAGGTTTTGAAAGCTATTTAATTCTCCCAATTCTAGTTTTTCAAAGCTCATATAATTATTTTTCATTTTTCATTTGATTTATTGGTGTTAAGCAATGGATTCTTGATCTTTTATCCACATAAAGAAGTTTCATTCATTATTTTTCAAACACATTTTTACATGATGGTGGTGATAGAATACGTAAGTTGAAAGGCTTATTTTCCTCTACATATTTATGTGTATGTATGTTTATGTCTATGAATCTGCCCTTAGACATATTTTGAAATTATGGCCAATAGTTCATCGGTGGCTTATAATGGATTGTCTTCATGTAAGTGGCATTTATACCATACTAATTACAGTATCTGAAACTAGAATATGTAGAATCCATGTACTTCTTAAGGTTATGATAGGTTTCCATGGTGATTCTAGGTGCCAAACAGGTTTTCCACGGCTGTAACAGTATTATACTATCAGTATTATACTATTATACTAACAGTATTATACTATCAGATATTTGTTACCAAATCAGAATACTTTAAAAAAAATGAAAATATGAATTTTGTTTCTATCTCATTCTACTCACTAACCACATTATTTCTCCTACTCTGTTGTTGCAGACAAGAGTTTGGATCAGATCAATGCCCAGACCTGACTAGGGAAGTATACCTACAAGATATTCACTGTGTTGGATCACTTTGCAAGTTATACTTCAGGGAACTCCCAAATCCTCTTCTCACATATGAACTTTACAAGAAATTTACGGTGAGATGTCTCTGTTCCATTTTTTAAAAATTTTCATTGTGGATGAAGGAGTTATTGCAGTTTTACAATGCATTCTGTTTTTGTGCATGTAGTAACAAGAAAAACAAAATTCCTGAGTTTTCTCAAAAAGTCTGAGTTTCATCCTGTGCTTCTTCCCAGGCTTTAACTTAATCTAGGTTAAATGCATTTGTAATTATTTAGCCCAAAACACACAAAATAAGAATAACATAGCCCATGATTTCCCATTGTTTTCCATATGGCAATTTTTATTATAACGGAGGGAATTTTTTTAAATAAATGGAAATAAAAATATTACATATAAATTAAACACATATACAATAGTTTTAATCTTTGTTTTACCTAATTCTTTATCCTTTCCCTGTCTTCTTTTTTTCCCCAAAGGGGGCAGCATACAGTCCCTAGCTTGTTACTCTAAGGCTAAATACAAGCACTGATTTGAATTGTACTTTTTAATGTTTAGTAAGCCCACACCTGGTATATTGCATCCAGTTTTGGTCACCACATTACAGAAAAAGATATTGAGACTTTGGAAAAAGTGCAAAGAAGAAGAAACTAAGATAATTAAAGGCCTGGAGTCTAAAACATATGAAGGATAGTTGCAGGATTTGGATTTGGATAGTCTAGAAAATATAGAAAAGAAGGACTAAGGGGGACATGTTAACAGTATTCCAGTATTTAAGAGGTTGCCACAAAGAAGAGGCGGGGTCAACTTATTTTCCAAAGCACAAGAGGGCCAGAAACAATGGATGGAAACTTATCACGGAGAGAAGCACCCTAGAATTAAGGAGAAATTTCCTAATGTGAGAACAATTAACCAGTGTGGGTGCTTCACCGCTGGAGATTTTTAAGAAGGGATTGGACATTCACTTGTCTGAAATGGTATAGGGTGTTTGGCTTGAGTGGAGGGCTGGACTAGAAGACCTCCAATGTCCCCTCCAGCTCTATTCTGATTGATGTTTGAGATAGAGTGGTTTCTTTCAGAGAATACCAAACTGAATGATAAAGCATTTATTTTTTTGTGACCCATGCAAAAGCAGAGGAAATGTTATCAAGGAAAACAGGTAGTTCCATCAGCTGCTTCACTTGTCACCACTTGGCTATTGGCTTGGAAGATCATGGGCATCCACTTGTAGGAAGGCAACATCTGCAAAATGGTGAATATGGCCCAACTCCCATCTTTTTTACATGTATGTGATGTTGGTGTACATACAAAAGAAATGGGGTTTGAATCATAACAGCATAGATTTGGCCTACTGCTGCATAAGTATATCTTACGAATGACAGAAACATCAAAAAAAGTGATTATCTGTCAAAATGAGGGACTTGATCATAGGTTTGAACTAATTTGAATTGTTTATGTTCTATACAATTTCTTTTTTTTCCAAACAAAAGTTAATAATATACTAATTAAATGTGCACATTATTTTTACATGGCTTTGTGTATATGTTTGTGTGTACGTGTATGTGTGTGTTTGTGTACATTTTCATAGCATACAATTTTCTAATATCTGAAATTTTGTGCATAGTATTTACTTGTAGAAATATATCACACAGTTTGTAGAAAGGTAATTATTTTCTGGTTTTCATTCTAGTTTGGGAAATATGAATGAGGTCAGTTCATATTAGAATATTTAAAAATTTCAGTAAATCTATTTTGCATGTAATGGCTTTTGAAAAAGCATTATGTTCTTTCCCAGTACATAGTACTCCAGCAAGCAAACTGAGTCAAAATTCCCTTTCGAATATTTTTGTTCATGGGTATTCTGCTCGATGCTGTTTTGACTACTGGTCTGGTCTGCAACTGGTAAGGTGCATAAATCCTGACTTACAGTGCAGCATCATTTTACACATAAATGGTAGTATTAATGCAAACATTCAAAATAAAAAGTAGAGCTTATTCATATTTCTGGAAAAGTAAAGGTGAACTTAATTGACAAATGATAGCAAATGATATATGATAAATAATATCTATGATGTGACAATGATGATAACGAGTACTGATGTTTAAAAAGTCAGTTGACAACATCTGTTATAAAAGTTGTCTTATGCTGTCTGTGTAATTTAAACAGAATATTGGTTTTCTGCAGACTGTATATTCCCAATACATTTTCCCTCAAGTAAATATCATGGATATCAATCATGTACTAGGTCACTTTCTCCGTTTGCTGGAAAAAAAGGAATGATTGTTTTTGAAACAAGGGATAAAATTCTAGAAAACCTGTGGACTGAGACTGGAAAAGAGTGGGATTTTTCAAGTTTTCATTATCCCTATTAAAATCTGAAATTTCCAAGAAGTAGGTGCTCCAGAAAAATTCCAGCTATAGGGCTCATCATCTGCATTATTTAATACTTAAGGTCAATGAGAGCCTTTATAGTTTATAGATATCTTTTTAGACTATTATCCAAGAAGTGGGAAAGGACCGAATCCTCTGGTTAGGTCTTCAGATGTTCAGACAGCTATTACATTTCTTTTATCTGTAGACTAAACATATCTCAGTCTTTTTTCTATTCTTTGTAGGGCTTGGTTTCCAGACCTCTTGCCATCTTGGTAGCCTTCTTCTGAACTTGCTCCAATTTACCTTTTTTTTTTTTTTAAAATAGTGATGCTCAGACCTGGGCACAAAATCCTAAATAACATCAGAGGTGGGTAGAATAGAACATTCCTAAATAACATCAGAGGTGGGTAGAATCGAACAATTATTGCCATGATCTGGATTATATGAATATGCTAATCCATCTCCAGATAGAATTTACTTTTTAAGCAGCTGGATCACACATTTTGCTCAATTTTAACTTGTGGTCAATAAGGTGATCCAGATACTTTTCATACGTTTTTGTATCAAACCAATTTCTGCTTCCTATATTTATGTAGATCTTTACATTTCTTCCCATTAAATTGCATTCTCTTCATCCATAATGCTGTCCCCTAGGTAAGCTTTCTCTCTTTTTAGGGACCAAATATCATTGTTTAACTAACCAGAGGTGTACATGGCATACATTTGTTTCTTTACTGTTCTGTCAATCAAGTTTTAACATTTCTCAAGATTAGTTCCTCAGCCTCATAAAATACTGTTTACAAAAGTAAAAAATACATAGGCACAGTGCAAAGGCTAGAAACAAAGGTTCAACACTTACTATCAATGCAGTAGCCCTTCATTTAAAAAGTTTCCTTCAGCCTGATCTACCTGCTTTTCATGTCTGCCACAATCAGTCCCCGTATTATAATGGCCTTAGCTGAATTGCTATTCATCTCCTTTTATTCTGCCTATAAAGTGGGATCAAACAGTATGGACTTTACTTATTGTGTTCCTGTGAGAACAATATGAAAGCTTTGATACCTTAAATAATTAATTTTATGGTCCTTTGGTGCAAGCAGAATAGACTAGCTCTTGTCAGATTTTATACTTACGTTCCTAAGGTGCTCATTATTGTATGTATATATAATATATTGCAGTGCAAACCATACAACCTCTATGCAGGCATTTAATTATGATAGTTAATGTTTAATGCAGCATAGTCCTATGTTCCCACGTGTCCCAGCACTCTCTATTGGATTGCTCTTTCAAAATACAGATAACAGGAATGCCAATGTTTTTTTTCTGCAATGCTTCTAAAATAATGCATTTCTTTTTGACGGTGATTTCCCCCACTTCTTCCTGGTTTGTCCTTGTCTTTTAAATAGATATATTAGAATTTTAAAATGAAATGAATTTTTAAAGATTTTATCTCAGAAAACAAAATTGTAGACAGAACTGTCTACTCCTGGGCAGCCTATTCCTAATTTGAGGGATTTTGAAGGAGTTTCAGTTTAAGCAGCCATCATGTTCCTCTATTCTTATCAATATATATTTTGGTGAATAGCTGATCTGTAGTAAAATTTTGCACTACTGTCTTGTAATTGAAGTTCTAATTTGGTAAGCGAAATTAATGAGTAACCCCAAAATATTTGTCTGCAACAGAATGGGGGAAAGTAACTCTCAAGCAGCTCTGAGTTGCATGTGATTGACTTCTAGTCACAGACAGTCCAAATAAGTAGCAAAATTGCACGCTTTCAGGAGTGGCTGCCTTTTGATTGTATGTGAATATGAATTTTCTTCTCTCAGGAAGCCTGCCACAAAGTACAATTCTAAGTCAAACTTACACCTTCTGTTAAATGCAAAATGCACCTGCAGGGAGAGTTGGTAATTATCTCCTATGAACAGAGATCATGACCAGAGGTGGGGGAAAAACCCAGTTTGAAATGGTTATATTAGTGATGGAAACAGATTCCTCAATGGAATCCAAAGATGACATTTCTGTTCAGTTCTTGAAGGTCATATGCTGTACAAGTAGAAGATTCATTTCCAGTCTTTGACATATCCAGAACAATAATAATAAGGACTCGTGCTTCAATCCTCAGAGAGCCAATTCAAGTTGTTATGGACAAATGGACAAATAAACCTACTCTAAAGATGTTTTCTTTGCCCTACTATATCCAGTATTTTTAAAAATACTTTCTAGCCAGCATTGTGTTCAATGGTCCCATGTAATCTGGGAAGTGCCAGTTTCTGGAGAAATCTGATTGAGGTGGTGACCTCTTTGGCATTCATAATATGATCATGAGGAAAACAATGTCCTTTCCTAATATACTAATTGATATATCACCACTGAAATGAAAACTTTGGATAGTACTCATGACAAATAGTTCTTGGCAGATCTATTTTTTGTGCAATTGCTTAATCTCCTTATAAGCTGATGATCAACGTCACACTCCATTTTTTTAAATTCCCCAAATGTCATTATTTCCTAATAAGTATTACAATTATTTTGCTGTCACAACTTGATGGAAGGCTGCTGCTGGTTTTCCTTGGTATCTGCAGACATTATTATTTCCATGTTTGTTTATTTTGTGCATCAATTTGGTAATGATATTGTGGATGACATTGTTTTTGCCTTCAAGAAGGGGTTGTGAACTAACTGAATTCTTTTTGTTGATGTCTTTGCAGGAAGCAGTCTCGTGCTTCCCTGAGAAAGAGCAGTTGGCCCAGATTCAAAATGTCATCCAGGAACTTCCACCATCACATTACAGGTAAAAGAAAAAACTTAGTAGTTATTGTGGGTTGCAGGCAGGTAACATCAGAAAAATATCCTTTATCTGAGATTGCTTGGTTTTTAATTAGTTAAAAAAACTGAATAGTCCACTAATAGCCCACTAATCAAATAATTGCTCAACAACTTAACTATATTTTTTCAATATATTTTTATTGAAACATGCAGGATGTTACATTATCAGGACTAACCATCTCTGTTCCCCACCTATCAAAATCATCTTTTTCCCAGGCACCTTCTTCCAGTGCTTTTGTTTAATGCTTACTCATCTATTATTGATGTTTATTACTATATTCAGATCTCTATCACATCATTTTGAAATTCCAGGAAGCTTTTTATTGTCAAGTAAAATATTTTCAATCATAAAACGCTTTTTGTTTTGAGTCTGTATAAGCATTGTTGTAGATAATCGCACAACCAGCTGGCTCCTCAGTCAACATGGCTTCAAGATAATTCAGATGAGGTTTTACATAGCTCAGATTAAATCTATTTTGTGTCTTCTCCTCAATCAATTTCAAATGTTCAGTGGAGAGACATGGGACGTGAGTTTGTGGGGTCCCAATGCCTCCCAGGAGAGATAAATAAGAGTAATAAGAAAACAAATATTTAAATGGAAGGTGGGATTGAGTATTTAACCAATGCATTAGTAGCTAAAGTAGTAGACCAGAATGAAGAAATTGAAGTCCTCATGGCCCAAATTTTGCTGCAGCTCCCAAATCCACTGGGAATCAATGTTAAATTTTTAATTTTTAATGTGACATAAGATAGGAAATATAATTAAAGGCAGTGATCTCATTAGCTGCAATTTATTAATTAAATTTTTTGATAAAAATATAATGAAGTGTAGTGTCTGTTCTTAAATATTTTTGCTTTGACTGCTTTCACTTTTTCAATAGAACATGGATCTTAACAAGCCACTCAAAGGTCAACATATCTAAGAAAATATCTACATTTATTGGTGACTGGAAATCCCTTATGGACTTTTTGCATTTAGAAAAAGCCTGAACTCATGATTTATGGCTTTGATTATTAGACATTAGAAATTATAAAAAGAAAGGAGTCACAATGTAAAGTCAATTTATAACTATACTTGTAACTGCTATTAAGAAGATGTATTCATATATTTATTAATGAAATTTGTATACTCACTGTTGAGGTAATTCTCCGTTAGGAGAATGAGTGCATACAGGGAGACATATTTGAGAGTAGTGTTTGAATAATACACACACAGCACACAGATACACTGTACAGTAAATGTAGGTTTTTTACTTTCAATAAAGGTTTAAGCAAAGTTCAAAACACAGTCCAAAGTCATTCACAGGTATGATCAGTCAGTTTTTAGTCCAGGGATAATCCAATAACAAAGTCCAGTGTCAAAAACAGTTCAGTATCAGACTTACATCAAATCCAAGATTATCAGTCAATTAGAAGGAACGGCAGAACTCTCCAACAGAAGGAAACAGAGACTCACTGAGACTTCTTCTGAGACTAAGACTAAGACAACCCAGGTTTCTGGCTCCATCTTATGGCCATTTGAGAAACCACACCCAATTACAATTTTTTCATTCTTAAAGATGCAGTGTTAAAATGTCTATCCTGGTTTATATATTTCCAACCCAAATAATTGTTAGGTGACTCATATTCCTAACACTCACCTATCTCACCCAAAGTTATATATATATATAAAACCAAAGAGTGGATAACAATAGGTGCATCAACAATGGAGCCATCTAAGCATATCAACTGGAGCCCCAGGCCTCATAACATAACCAGTCTTGAGGGTCTTCCAGAATGTCAAAAGGGATGGAGCTAATCTAATTTTGGAGTGGAGGACAGGAGAGAAAGTCCCATAACATAGATGCCACTTCTGTATATTATTTTTCTTTCTCTTCTATTTTTCTGCTTTTTTTTTCTTTTTGCACCTTTAGTTTTTGCATTCTTCTCTTTTCTTTTTTGCTCTAGTTTAGTTTGTACTAGTCTTATTCTGTTTAAAAATGTCAATAAAATTATTGTTTAAACTTTTGTAGCTATAACCCTAGCTACAAATGATTGCACATTCAGTCCCAATACAGCTTAGTGTACATAAAATATGCTCAATAATTGGCAATCGGTACATATTTTAGTTTACACATTAGCATTGTGTTACTGCGTGTTACATTAGTTGTACCAGTTCCAGATGGATGCATATCCTGCACATTGTAATAGTCATATTTGTTCTTGGTTTGTCTTGACTACTTTATTTCAGGACCTTGGAATACTTAAGCAAGCACCTGGCACTTCTGGCATCCTTCAGCGGCATGACCAACATGCACACCAGAAACCTGGCTTTAGTGTGGGCACCTAATCTCCTTAGGTATGATAAATATGCTTACTGTTTTGCTTTATCCTAAAGGCAATACCGAGAAAGTTAATGGAAGCATATAATAGATGTGCACATAGGAACTTTGTGGATGAATCCAGCCGTGGGGGAAGAGCATAAAATCAAATATGATGGTGGAGGTGAATCTCATCAATTTGTTGTTTGTTTTCCCATTTTCATGGCCATAAAAACTGATGAGGTGTTCATATATAGTTCAGTGACCCACATTTTATTGGAAAAAGTAAAGGAAATACCTGAAAAAGTTGTAAATCTGAAAAACTATAAAATATATATTTTAATAAAATATTCAATCAAGAGTACATGTAAATTTATTTTTTAATATATATATATATATATA